CCATTTCAATTCTTTAGTCCACAAACTGTAGTTTTAAGCCTTTAGCTGATAAGAGTTCTGAAGAATGTTAAAAAGAGAGATCATGTCTCTCCTATCCTAGCTTCTCTTTATTTGTTTCCTGTTAAATCCAGAATAGAATTTAAAAACCTCCTTCTCACATATAAAGTCTTAAATGGCCAAGCTCCATATCAGATATATGATTGTTCCTTATGTCCCTAACAGAGCAATTTGCTCTCTATCTGCAGGTTTAAAAGGGGTTCCTATAATTTCTAAAAGTAGAATAGGAAGCAATCACACTTTGACGATTTAGCCAGCATATGCCTGATGTCCTAGAATCTTTGAAAATGCTTGCATACACTGAACTTTCTATATATTTTTTTTTCAATCTTCGGCATATACATGAGTCCAGAACGTATGCCTAATGACAGCCTAACGTTTGCATAACGCACAGCAGCATAATGCCCATGAAATGTCATAAGTCACTGTCCTGAAGGGAGCAACAACGAGCACAACTGGGACAGAGTCAAGAACCATCAATATCGAGCCAGCTCAATATTAATTTTTGATTGAATGTCGGCGTGTAGAGGGCCGAATATGCACAGCTATGATTTACAAAGGAAAATAGTTTTTTGTGCATGCACATAGCTTTATGTTTTCTTGTTTGCTTTTTTGGCTGACTTGAGTGTTTAGACTAGGTAGACTTTTAGTGCAGATTCTGCTTAATGTTTTAAAAACGAGGCCCCTGGTCCTCAGTTCAATGAAAAACTAAGCATTTATTGTAAGCATTGAAATATTTGTTAGAAAACTTATAATATTGAAGTTATTTTGTGAGCTTTAAATAACTTTAGCTTGTTAGAATATCCCAAAAGCTTCATTATGTCTTTTAGCTAAACATTTTCTGTTTATTTTTTATTCGAGACTAAACTGCGTATGTTTTCATCATTTAGATTTTAGAAAAATTAAACAGGTGTCTGGTTCACAATATTGCAGTCATCAACACTGTGGCAGCCATGCAGAATCAGTCATACTCAGAGCTGAATGGGACATTTGGGCAGACTTAAAGGTGGGCCCCCTGATAAAGGTTTGCCTGGGGCCCCACAATGGCAAAGTCTGCCAATAGAACAAGCTCACCTTTCATGCAAAGTTCATTAATTTCCTGAGGACTAAAGAGATGGGATTCTGGAGTGGACCCAGTATTCAAGATAAGACAGCCAGTAAGAAAGTTCAAAATGTTAATTAAAATAAAACAGAGCAGAAACGGGCTTCTGAGGATCTGCAGCGACTGCAGGAGGGGGGCGGGGCACTGCCCAATCACCGACACTCTGGTTTAAGGAGAAACACAGGTAAGTGACCACAATCATCTGAACAGAAGATGATATTAGAGTGAGCCACTTGCCTGGTTTAGCTGTTCAGTCCATCCTCTCAATCATAGGCAAGATAAGCTGATGTACTGCCAACGAGAAGCGGCTCTGAGCCGTCCAGAGCGTCCCCGATGCAGCAACCCCAGTGAACAGGCAGGACTCCGATCCAGGGCAGGAATTCAGATCAGACTGGAGTAGTTCTGGAATCCAGGAGTCCGTAGTCGAGTCATGTCTGGTTCCAGTGCATACAGGAATGCATCAGAGCGTGAAGGCAGGTTCAGAGTCCTGTGCATCGAGCAACCAGCTCAGACAGAAACGCACAGATAGGCAGAATCCAGCAGGAGTCCAACCGATTTTAATGCGGGTCGCTTGCTGAGTTGTTTGACGCGAGTAGACATGTCAGTAAGCTGTTCGCACTGCCACTAAAAGCCCATTGTTCCCAGTTTAAACTGGTTTTTCAGCGAGTAGGAAAGCGGCATAACTTTAAAAGTAAAGAAATTATAATCTGTAAAAATAAATGTAGAAAATAAAGCAATTAACAAAACTTAAACTGAAGAAAAATTTGAAAAAACTAAATCTGAACAATTAAAATAAACTCAGGATTGGAAAACCAAATATTAAATGAATAAACCAAAAGGTTTTTGCCGCTTCCACTTTTAAAGCCGAATGACTGATACCTCACAGAATTCCTTCTGCTCATTGGTCTGATTGACGTGATGTTTGAGGAAACAGCGCCTGCATCAGAGATCCCTCAAAGGTGATTGGTCTTTGTGTGGACTTACCTTCACAGTTTAAAACATATGAATAAATAAGAAAGCAGTGATTTAAAAAACAGCCAAGGTTCAAATTATTTTGGATTAAGTAAAAACCAAACCAAAAAGGCTGGAACACAGTCATTCAAAAAAATGTATGCATAATGTCTTAATTATGGTTAAAAATCTCCTTCACAGTTAAACATTAAATCCAAAGAAAGGAAGTAGGTTTATAGCTGTAGGCTGTCAGCTGCACGAGAGTCAAACCAGGTTTCTGCACCTGTCAGGTTGGAGCACAATAGCAAATATACAAACTGTAACAGTCAGTTACAGCCATGGTTATTTACCAGCTTTGTTCCTTCATGTCAGGTGTCGTTTGCACGTTTTACAACATACAGAAGTAATAAAGTTAAATGTTTACCTTTATAGAAAGGTCTCAATATATTCTGGGAGGAAGATGTGTGCGCTAATCCTTCATGGTTTCACTTTTACAAACCATTAGTGTTATAAGTGTTATTTCCTGTTTTCACTAGTGTTTGAGTTCAACCATTAAACATCATCTGTTAATGGTGCCATAGTGGCTAGGGTAATTCATTCAGTAGATTACACAAGCATTAGCAAAAAACTGTTTTCCATTAGCAGATGCCATGACAGATGGTATTTAAACTGTAGCACATGGATGAAGGGAGACAAAACAGAAAATAATGCAGCTGAGAGTAAATCAATACTTTATGTGAATGCTTTGACTAGCATTAGCTTTATAGCATGGCTGGTCTTTGCAGGACGTTAGACAACACTGATTAGGAAAATCCAGAGGAAGCAGTCATGACAAGGTTAGAGGCAGAATTATTTTTTGATTTGGGTTATATTTGACATCTGTCCAGGGTGGCATTTAAAAAGGGGCAAACAAAGGCTGAATACAAATATTGCTATAAGAACCAGTTTGCTTGCTTTTCTGAATGCGGAGTTAATGTTTGAAAGGTACTAAAGAGAGAGACAGAAAACGGCGTGGGTGGTTATGGGAATGTTTATGAGAAAAGGAATTTGATCCCAGAAAGGCTGCATGTTTGGTCATGCTCAGACATAGGTAGCAAACGTTTACTTTTGGTTCCAAAGGTGGTTTTCCTTTTGCAATTAAAAATTTGATTTAAGGACAACTCTGAATGATGCTTTGAAATATTTCAAGGTTGTTATGGAGAGAGAGGCTGCACGACCTGACTATCTTATACTGACCAAGCTGATGGTCAGTATAAGATGGAGTTCGCTGGAGTCTTTCCTATCTATAAAGAGAAATTTCAAATGTACTTGTGGTTCTGAATTTTTCAAGCTTTACACCTTTTTTTTGTCTTTCTCATTTCAAAATTTCTATTTATTTGAAACATCAATAAAGACCACCTCCAGTAGGTTTTCTTCTGATTTCTATCAATCTTCCAGCTTCTCTGTACCTGCTAATAAAAACCACAGCATCATAGTGCAAACACCAGGTTTCCTAATTGTCATGAACTGAATGTTGTAATGGAGAGTGGTGGTCTGACGATTAGAGAAGGCTTCTTGCTTCCTGGGAAGGCTGGATATTTCCTTTTCATGATCATGACTCTGATAGCTGACCTAATTGCTAATTTCACTCACCTGCCTTACTTTGCCCAGTTACCAAATATCACTGATCTTATCTACCTGCTACTGTTTCTTTATTTATGGCTCATTCCCAGCTATCAGGGCTAGATGATTGTTGCTGAGGTAACTGATGTGTGTTTTTAATCTTATTTTCCTTTGTTACTTAGTTTTACTTTGACTTTGAGTTTTAGATCGTTGCTCAGGCCATAGTTGATGTTCTCGTTCCTGGAGGCCAGTGGTGAGAGGATTCTAGTATTTCGTAGAGTTCCTGATCACGTCGAGTTTTAGCGTACTCTAGTTTTCCTGTTATCCTGACCTGTTCTGCCTCTCAACTACTGAGCCTACCTGTTCCCATCTGAACCTTCTGCCTGAACTCTCTGTTGGTCTCCTGGAACCCTGAATCTGCCTGAACACTCTGTGATTATTATAGATTTACAACCATCTCTTGGTGAGCTCAGAGATGCATCAAACCGTTTTCCGGTGGTGTATCCATCCGACACAGAAACTACAGCAAACTATATAGTTATAACTCAAATTTTATATATTGAGCAGCTCATATCTGCTTGATGTAATTTGTATAAAAAATGTTGGCCTTTACAGAATCGCTCAACATAAACTACACTAGTGGTTGTTCTCCAATGTTGAGTAATTAGGTGACCTTTGAAGGAAATAGGTTGCACTGGATTTTTTTAGGTTGCAGGGATAAAATTAAAATGCATACTGCACTTTTTAGATTAGTATTTGTAACAAAATTTGTGATAAAATGCATTGATTATTATCGTGTTTGATAAAGCAAGACAAGTTCAAGAGATATGATTATTGCCGTCAGGAAATTTGCTTGTCTGTTTTGAGAGATTGTGAGATCAGGAAAGATAAAAGATTAAATCTTGATAAATAAGGTGTTTTAAATATTAACAAAATATGGGAATACGAATGTTATCCCAACGTCTTTTTCTGTTATGAAAAAATCTGATCTGAAAATTGATCTGAAAACTGCAACATCTCCATTCTTTTTAAGAAAGTGTAAACCATGTATCTGCTTAACTCTTATTACATTAAAATCAGTTGCAGGCAGCAGATACACAAAGATAATTCTGTTCAAGAGGTCAAAAAGGGATTTCAAACTGAAAAAAAAACCCAGAATTACACAGTACTGAAAGCAGAAAAGCTAGCAAGATGCTTCTTAGGTTATTGCTCAATGGTTTATATGCTCAAACCTCGTGATATACAGGAATAATCTGATGGTAGAGAAAAGATGATGTAAGATGAAGGCTTTCTCTTGACTTGAAGGAAGTATTTTATTAGGAAACATAGATCAAAAATATGACATAGTTTTCAAAAAGCATGAACATTTTAATCAGAATGTTAAACAAAAAGTAATATTCTGCGGTTTTAAGGCACTAATTTAAAATAAATGTTTCCCTTTGCTCTAATACAAATGATCAACTATTACACACTAGGAAATGTGTGCAGCTAACTATCTGCAGACCAAGTCGCATGAAATGAACTAACCACCACCGGGTCAACAAGCTACATTCTTCCGACCTGAGTGGTGACCACAGTGGTGCCGGACTGATGGCGCTCCCTGATCTTCAGCTCTCGATTCATTTGGCACCAAACACAGACGTAGCAAAACATTACATTACAGCAGTCATCGCAGCATGAGCCCTGCAGATGAAAACAAAAAGAATGGAATTATGAAGTTAGCAGAGATCTACATCAAAGGCTTTCCAACTATATCCTGATTTATTTAGATGCACCTTCCTTTTTCCCATTTGTAATCAGATCATGTAAATACTTGACCCATTTCTATAGTTTTATAACTTTTTTGTCACATAGTCTGCATTTGCGATTGTTTTATATCATTGAACTTTGATATTTCTTTCCTCACTTAAAGCTAAAATATTACAAAAATCTGCATTTTATAGAAACTTAGACTTAGACTTGACTCTATTAATTCCTTGGGATTACTCCCTTCGGGAAATTGTATTTCCAGTAGCAGGAAAAATTGCACATAGAAGAAAATAGATGATGTTTAGACACGGTATTTACAATAGAAAAATAGAATCAATTAAATAAGGTGTATGAAGATGTATTGGGGGATGAGGATAGACAAATAAATAGATAAAAAAACAAACAAACAATGCACAAATCTGATAAATCCAGCAAAAACTAAATTATTGTCATGTTATGAGGTTTACCTGTAGGACCAAAGTACAAGAACAATGTAAGCTTATCTACTGAGAGAAATGTGGAGAATGACAATGGAAGCAGAAAGATAGCGGTGTGAGTAATGGAGGATGACAAATTAACATAAAATGGGCGTAGCTTAGATCCAGCGAAACAGAAATAAATAACATACCAAAGGCCTATTGGCAAAAATAACAACCGATTATGGCAAGACAGAAGATAAATAGCAAGAGAACCAAAACCCAAACACCTGTAGATCATGAAACTTATTACTATTTCTTATGCTTACATCTTTTTTCTTTTGCTTGATCATATTTATTATTTTTAGTCTACCCCCCAACTTCATCACATTATTTTTTTGGCTTTTTTTGTTTGTTTTTTTGCCTGCTACTTAAATAACCAGGCAATTAAGTATTTACCTACTAATAGTGCAACTCTTCTGTATCATCCATATGGTTTCTAGTGAACTTGAGACAGGCCTGGACGTGTTGTCTTAAGCAGAGGGATTTGCCTGGTACTGCAGGATTTGAGTCCCTATAACTTTCATTTCATTCCAATTGCTCCCTAAGTTGACTTATTTCCACCATCCTCCTTGGCTACTGTAGATTCACCGCCTTTTTCAGGTCTACTTTTTTTTTTCCTGGGGTCCTTTGAGGGCTCTTTTGGGTTGGCAATAGTTGGAGTTTGTAGTCTGACTGCTTGTGGCTGTGTCTAGTGTTTTTTTATAGAGATACACTATATTGCCAAAAGTATTTGCTCACCCATCCAAATTATTGGAATCAGGTGTTCCAATCACTTCCATGGCCACAGGTGTATAAATTCAAGCACCTAGGCATGCAGACTGTTTTTACAAACATTTGTGAAAGAATGGGTCGCTCTCAGGAGCTCAGTGAATTCCAGCGTGGAACTGTGATAGGATGCCACCTGTGCAACAAATCCAGTCGTGAAATTTCCTCGCTCCTAAATATTCCAGTCAACTGTCAGCTGTATTATAAGAAAATGGAAGTGTTTGGGAACGACAGCAACTCAGCCACGAAGTGGTAGGCCACGTAAACTGACGGAGCGGGGTCAGCGGATGCTGACGCGCATAGTGCGAAGAGGTCGCCAACTTTCTGCAGAGTCAATCACTACAGACCTCCAAACTTCATGTGGCCTTCAGATTAGCTCAAGAACAGTGCGCAGAGAGCTTCACGGAATGGGTTTCCATGGTCGAGCAGCTGCATCCAAGCCATACATCACCAAGTGCAATGCAAAGCGTCGGATGCGGTGGTGTAAAGCACGCCGCCACTGGACTCTAGAGCAGTGGAGACGCGTTCTCTGGAGTGACGAATCGCGCTTCTCCATCTGGCAATCTGATGGACGGGTCTGGGTTTGGCGGTTGCCAGGAGAACGGTACTTCTCTGACTGCATTGTGCCAAGTGTAAAGTTTGGTGGAGGGGGGATTATGGTGTGAGGTTGTTTTTCAGGAGCTGGGCTTGGCCCCTTAGTTCCAGTGAAAGGAACTCTGAATGCTTCAGCATACCAAGACATTTTGGACAATTCCATGCTCCCAACTTTGTGGGAACAGTTTGGAGCTGGCCCCTTCCTCTTCCAACATGACTGTGCACTAGTGCACAAAGCAAGGTCCATAAAGACATGGATGACAGAGTCTGGTGTGGATGAACTTGACTGGCCTGCACAGAGTCCTGACCTCAACCCGATAGAACACCTTTGGGATGAATTAGAGCGGAGACTGAGAGCCAGGCCTTCTCGTCCAACATCAGTGTGCGACCTCACAAATGCGCTTCTGGAAGAATGGTCAAAAATTCCCATAAACACACTCCTAAACCTTGTGGACAGCCTTCCCAGAAGAGTTGAAGCTGTTCTAGCTGCAAAGGGTGGACCGACGTCATATTGAACCCTATGGATTAGGAACGGGATGTCACTTAAGCTCATATGTGAGGCAGGTGAGCAAATACTTTTGGCAATATAGTGTATATAATATAATCCAATAGAATAAAATCTATAGTTATGGGTCATCTTGATCTGAATTAGATTTTTCTACATGAAAATCTAAGAGAATTTGATTTTCCTTTCCTCCATATATTTATACACATGTATATCACCTAAACCTTTTGATTGATAAAATCACTGATTTTCATACCTTAAGGTGACACAATAAATATTACACTACAGATTACTAAATCTATTGGACATAGTTGGGAATATGCAACTAAAATACATTAAAGCTATGAATTTATTAAGTGTAAAGGTTGATTTTTCTAATAAATACATAATTCTGTAGGATTTGACTCAAATTGGCATATTTTAATAATCCTTTTTTGCACATTTAAAACAAGTATGTTTTAAAGAGAGTGAAATCTAAACCTACTTAATACATTTAAATGTAGGAGGATATTAAAAAAAACATCCTAACGTTAGAATTAGGACTGAAATAGCACCTGAAATAAAGTTATACATGACTGATAACGCTTTCTACTGAGACTCATTAGTTGGAATTTATTTATTACCATTACACTATAGTCCAGAATTAGTGCACACTCTCTAGTTTATCCTGTTTTTGTTATGATTGTGTTTAATCTATATTCTGTTTGGTTTTTGGAGTTGCTCCAGTCCCTTGGCCGAAGAACCAGCAGGTGGCCAAGGGGCAGAGTTGATTTGGACTGTACCACATCAAGGCTATGGGGGGAAATGAGGTTATATTTTATTTGGACAAAACTACCTGTTTAGAATTTGTGAAACTATCCCTTTTTTTATGAAGAAAAAAAAAGATTTCCATATTTTTTCCCTAGTCACATTTTAACATTTCAGAAAATAAAAGAAGCAGTTTTCAAATGCTTTTTTTTATTATTTTCTAACACCTTGACCACATGTGGCTAAGCAACTGACGCAAATTTCCATTTAAATGGAAACTGACTGAACAAAACAGGAAGTAGGCTAAAAGAACTGATCAAGGGTAAAGCTTTACTGGATTCATTTTTAATAAAGATTCATAAGTGCCTGTTATTTTTTCTCATTTTAGGTTTCCTGCAATTTTGCGGTTGTTGGTTTGCGTTTAATAAAACAGTTTATTTTCTGATTAGATGTTCAAGTATGTGACCTAAATAATTGGAAATCTAGATCACTTGAAACCACCTCTTTCAAAAGCAAGACTGGTGTAAATATGCATTGCTATCATTGGACTATTTGTTAACCAGATTGGTGTTCCAGAGCAAATATTTACTATAGTATGAATCTGTTGATCATGTAGAAGAATTGAGGCCGAAACAAACTCTGTATGAGATTTGGTAGATACCAATAGAACCTTGTGCTCATCTACAGCCCAAAAACAGAAGTAAAGAGAGTTAGAAACTGCAATTTACAAACAAAAAAACCTTAAAAATGATCCTAGGTGTTTTTACTTTTACAACTCTAGATCCTACATTTGATGCTTAATGCTTTGATTTTTGATGATTTCTTAAATTTTTTATGAATTATTTCTAAAAAAAAAAAAAAAAAAAAGAATCAAAAGTGACCTTTGAACCATATACTTAGATATCCTCTTAACACAGCCGTCTCTTTCTGAAGGACTGGTGTGGACATTTCCCCTCCAAAAATATGAACATTTGCTTTCCTTCCCGCTCATTGCATTTTGCCAACAGAAACTCTGGTACTGAACAAAGTAAATGCAAGACCATGATATAAAGGGGGAGAGCTGGGTTACACTGTGGCTAGCTGTACTCATTAGCTAACAGGTTAGCCTATTTTAGCTAGGTCAGTTAGCCATATTAAGCTACACTATAACTTTGGCTACGTTCACACTGCAGCCTGAAGTGACCCAATTCCGATTTTTTTGCCCATATGTGACCTGTATCAGATCTTTTTATGACAGTCTGAACGACACAGATCGGATTTTTTCAAATGCGACCCAGGCCACTTGGATATGTGGTCCTGAATCCTGAATCGGATACGCCAGGTCGCATTCATCCGACCTACACGTCATTGATACTTGACAAATGTTACTAAACGTTACTAATCTGCGTCCTACTAAGCGGAGGCGGGAAAAACTAACAACCATGGCGGAAGATAACACAGAGAGCAGTCAATGGAGAGAAAGTGAGGTTGCTGACTTAATTCATATTTGGAAAGATAGCTCGATTCAGACCAAACTCGAAGGGTCTTACCGGAACCTGGCTCTCTTTCTTTTTGATCCTCTTAAAAAGATTTCGTTCGTAATGTGCCTGCTCCTGTTGGAGAAGAACTTAAAGAACGCAATATACGCTGCGGTATTACGAGTCATGTTTACTTCCGCAAACACTGAGGACGCTTGCTACATGTGATGTCATCGCGTCCTCGAGTGCGCATGCGGGACACTTCGGTTGAACGCTTTCAGTTCACACAGTAGATCACATACAAGTCGCATATACTTGGAAGTGTGAACGGACACGCAAAAAAATCCGATTTCACAAAAAAATAGGAATTGAGCATTAAGGCCTGCAGTGTGAACGTAGCCTTTGTGTCAACAACAAGCATTCATTTTTTACAAGTAGAATAAATGTTTTCTTTGTCGAAAATCTCCACGAAAGTCATTCTTAAAGTCGAAGGCCTTTTTTTTTGTTTGTTTTTTTTACATTGGGCCCGTGCTTTTACGTTATTACATTATGTTCTACTCACCCATATTAGTTTTGTGTAATTTGGAGCTGTTCTGAAGATATTCCGTTTATTATTATTATTACTAATATTAGATATTCCGGTTATATCCTAGTAACGTCTTCCTTTGGGCAACGACTTGAAGGCACAAACTAAACTGTTCATAATGTATCATTTATGGTACGCCAGCATTCATAGCATGTAGGCAAATCACTGTCCCCACAGACATCTGTGGTTATATTTTTTATATTTATATTTTTTTAAAACAAAGGGGAGTGTGTATGACGTCTTCCGCGCGCCGGACTGGAGTTGTGACGGGAAGCCCGGGCCACAGGCGGCCACGCTCCACCCCTTCTATTCATTCGGCTAGCTAATCTGAATCGTTCAATTCCATTAGGAGAGCGAGATCATCTGTGGTAGTAGCACTAGACATCTTCCAGGCATGCGAGTAAAACTAGCAGCAGTTCAGCGGACAGGATGAATGATGGAGGGAAGTTTTGTATGCTGCATTCTGGAAAAAGTAAGGAAAGTGCATGTTGTTTTTAAAATAAAATCCACAAGAATCACAGATTTTCATTTTTTTTACAATTGCATTCTCTTAGGAAACGACTGTAAAATCATCATTTAAAGCCATAGGGAAATCATATTTGAATGTCGAATCATTCTGGCTTAAACAGGTATATAAATGTACTCTTTCTCAGACTATACTGTCACAAAATTTAGAAAATTTCAATTAAAAAACAAAACAGTCATTTTCTTAAGAAAAAAAATGGACAAATCTCTCAGATTTTAGCAATTTCATTTTAAGAATTAAATACACAGAAAATGGCAGAAGGGATAACTCCTTAATTTTTTTTTTTTTTGCTTATCCAACCATAGGGAAGATACACACACCTTTATAGGCCTTTGTAGTTCTGGGTAAGTAAAGTGATAGTGAAAATATAGTGCATAAATGTGAATTACAGGGGGGGGGGGGTTCGTCTGAATCATTGGAGGGGGGCGTTATAGAGATTGATGACCACAGGCAGGAATGATTTTCTGTGGCGCTCTGTGGTGCATCTGAGTAAGATTTAAAATTCTAGGAAGTAAGAATATGCCATGATTAGGTTTGCCACACCACCTAAGAGCAACACGAAGACACTATGAATGAGCGTTGCTCCAACAACTTCCAGACTTACAGGGATATTGTGGCGTTCCCTGATGCTGGAGCGCAGCATGCAGGAAACGATGCCGCAGATGTCTAGCAGCGGCATGGCGCAGCACCATCCATGTTTACTGGCAGTCTGACACTGCATGCAGGGGAAACACCACAGGCCACAGCAGCCTGTTGGGGAGATGGAGAATATTTTATTAGTGAGAATTAGTCTTCATCACTGAATTGACTTAATTTTATTAAGTAATAAAGCCCACAAAACAAATTCAAATTATTAAGGATAGTTTCGGTGTTAAAAGAATTTCAAACCAGATTCGGCCTAAATTTGGGATTAAAGCAGACTGAAATCACGTCAGAGTTTTTCCAAAAAAGTTTAAAAAAACGATTTCCGAGATTATGTTTCCAAGTTTGAAAACATTTCACTTCCCATCCTGGAAGCTTTATCAATTCCAAATGTCTAAATTAGCGTTCGAGTTCGAAGCTTTATAGAGTGGCCAAAACAAAGCCATTTTTGGCTTATAAAACGTTGCCCAGCAACCATGACACCATAGATCTAAGAAACCGATGGGAAACGGCCGTTCTAACCATTGCATTTCCGAATTCTACTGAGTAGTGCCCGACTTTACACGAGAGAATAAAGTGAAAGTAATTGGTCGTTTATCAAGGGGGCGGGATTGTTGTGGCAGAAGGTTTGCAAACAAGTCTGGTTGTGGCCGTTTTCTCGGAAGACTCTTGCTAACCACTTAGCAACTTAGAGCTAGTATGTTCCCAAAGGGAAAATACATTGGGACCAAGTAGCACTAAATTGGTGACTTAGAAACGACACTATGCTATGGACAGTGGAAACATGCAAGAGGAGGAGAGTTTTGTGTCGGAGGTCGTGGATGAGTCTCCTCATCCACGACCTCCTCATTTTTTATTTAGAGGAGGAAAGCGGGGACGAAGTTGTTGCGGAAGAGGACGCCAGGGTGGCAGAAGCTTGGTTTGGTGTAAAAGGCTTACAGCCGTACATGTTTGAGCCCTTGCCTCGCAACGCTGCCAGTTCTGTTAGCTCTACGCCTGCCGAAGACACAGATGTCCATCCCCGTGGACACTGGGACGGAACTCAATGGTACAGTAAATGATTCCTATTTCTTATTTCAACCGTTGCGTATATTAGCTGCGACATATGAGTCAAGGTGCTATGACCAAAAAAAATGTGATTGACAGATGACCATTAATATATGATTGGCCGAATTTAGGTGTACAGGCTGACTTCTAACTAACTGGCCTGCATAAAATAATGAGAGAAAAAAAAAGATTTTCAGACAGGATTTTTTTTTTTTATAGAAATTTTCTAAATTTTGCGACAATATGGTCTGATAAAGAGTACATTTATATGCATGTTTAAGCCAGAATGATTTTACATTTAAATATGACTTCCCTAGGACTTTAAACCTTTGTTTTTGAATATCCTTTATGATATACATTTCTTAGGCCATAATTATTCTATGCCTAGTTTCATAAAAGTATAAATGGGTGAAGAAGAGCTGAAGAAAAATAATGTTCTTCTGGAAGATATATAAGCCAAGGCGGTATGATTAAAAACTATACTTTAATATAGAAGGTATTTGGCAAAAATAATCAGAATTATGAACATTACGTTCAATTTTTAATCCACAATACCGAGGATACAATTTATATTATTGGCTGGATCAAAACTATTTGCTCCAATTTTTGTTCATTTAACCCTTGAACAACCACAGCTGTTGTACCATGGCAGCAAGCATGTGAAAAAATTTATTGTTAATTTCTTAAGACACCTCTAGTAATGTCTAGTATAATGATCTTGTTTTAAGACTGACGTAAATTTTAGCAAACGTTTATTAAAAAGAAAATAAATTCTTTTCTGAGCTTGTGTTAAAAAATGTTTAACCTAAATTTAAATGTTAGGAGGAATCTTTATAAATTAAGTAGTTATTTAAGTTTAAAAGACCTATATTTTTGTCTCAAAACATCTTTAAAGTTTATTTTAGGCCATAGAAAGCATAGAAGCTTAATTTCATTCATATTTTTTACCACGGCAAGTTAGGTTTACTTGTACAGCATAATTCAGTACAAAAAAATTCAAAGTACTTTACATCAATTAAATAATAACATACAAATAAAATAAACCTACAATAGACCAATAAGAAACAGGATAAAAGTTGGTAGTAATAATTGGATTACTTCACTGTTTACTGTTAAATAAATGTACAAATGCCACCTTGGAAGGATGTAGCCCTTAAATCAGGAAACACCCTTAGTTATGAGGCTCCTTTCATGAGGAACCAACTACCAGTTCTGTTCTGTGAGGCAGACACACTATCTACTATTAAGGTTAGGCTTCCTTTTTGATAGAGGTATAGTTAGAGTGGCTCAAGTTATATATTTAAAGATATGCAGCGATAGGCTTAGACTGCTGGAGGACCTAGGGACCACTTTTCATTACTCTGCTTCATTCTACTTCTACTCTCCAATATTGCACTCATTGGTAGTTCAACCTCCACATTATATGCTCCCTGCCTCATCATATTAGCTTTATCTGACCTAATCCTGTGACATCATCATGGACAGAGGCATCAGCTGGGCTGCTGCCATCAACAACTTTGATTATGGATGATAAAGTTGGGCCTGTTTTTCAGTCCTGCTTCTCTCCTAGGAAAGGGAAGAAAAAGTTTATTTGTATAGCACATTTTAGCAGGATGACTAAAATTGTTTTACATGATAGGAAAACACATAAAGAAGAAAACATTGATATAAGACTTAATAGTCACCACTGTTCCAAATGAAATCAAAAATAATTTATATCCGTGCTGCTTGCACAATTTTCCCAATCTTGTACATAGTCCATTGTTGTTTTTTGTTAAAAAAAAACAACAAATTTTTAATAATTCTTCTTAGTAGCATATTATTTAAAGGACCTATATATAAACAATCCACTCTTTGGAGCTTTTCACTCTCTTATAAGTTATTCCTTCAACAGAATCATGCACAAAGTGGTATTTCCCTTGATTCATGCATCTCTGAGTAATCATCATAAGTTTTACTATCTGAGCAGCAGCCTCACCCTTTCCTGTAAAAAGGCGTGGTTGGAGCATATATACATATGAAGGCTCCCTGCAGGAAGCACCAGCTTTAACCACGCTGCGCCAAACAAACGCCCACACAGAGAGATAATGTAAGGCTGAGCACAATGATTCCAGCTGAAGGTTGAAACCAAGAGGCTCTTTTACTAGCTAATTGGAACTGAGCAGGAACGGTTATTTGTTTCTGAAAGTCCTTTTTTCTGGCTGTATGAGCTCTCAGACATCGTATAAGCTTTATGAATGTTTTCATGAAATAGGCAGCACCTAGATCGAAAAATACTTGCTTTAAAAGCAAGTATTTTTGCTGAGTTTGAAGAAAAGAAAAATTTATTTTATTACAAATTAGCACTGTAGACCAATATCTCATCCTATATTGGTCTAAAGGTGACTTTGGACTGGCTTTAACACTTTAAGCCATTGTTATGCTATAAATTTTCCTACATTGTAGTTTTTCTTTTAGCTTGTCTTTTAACTTTGTGTAGCTGCCTGCCTTGACTTGTCTCTAACTTATCTTCTGGTACAGCTGAATATTTCTGCTGGACGAAAAAGATAAATGATGCCTTTATTTCACCAAGGTGTTTTATTTAATCTTCTTTTCCTGTAGTTTCCTTTAAAGGCCCTGTTTACACAAACACAGGCTCAATTTATTTTTTGTCAGTTTGGGTGTCATAATTTTAGGTATTTCGTCAATAAGGTAGGCCTCTCACCTACTGTAAACAAATTGTTCTTGATGATAAACTGTCCCACATCTTATTATGGTGGAGGGTAATATTTTAATTTGGTTTAAATCCAAAGGGCTTTATCACTGCTGCTGTTGCATTTAGCTTTTAAAGCAATCCCGTCTCTGTATCGTATTTTTCTGGCTGGCTACTCCTCAGTCACCAGACTGTGCTACAATTACTACGCTGTGAACATTTTGTCATTCAGAACAAAGGAGACAGGAAGAAAAAAATCAAGCATGCACATGTAAATTGACCTTATTCAAATTGACCAAGTGTTAAAATGTTTTACTGTTTACTGTGACATGCCTATAATTAGAATTTTTAAATGTCATGCTGCCTTTTTATCTGTGCAACACAGGAAGAAATCAGAGTGATCACAATCTGACAATGTAACAGAAGTGTAACAATGAATTGAGTCTTTAAAGTCACAGATAACTGCTTCAGAGCAGCAGAACATGATAGTTAAATATTTAGAGTATATTCATCTAGTGTGGAAACAATATCCTGTAGTGAGAATTTTGGTTCAAGCTAGTTAAATGTTAGCTTAGCATTTTAGTAGATTTAAAGGAGTCAGCACCACATGCACAATCTGCTATTGTTATTGTTGATATCTCCTGTGGGTCGTGTAGTAGTGTGCATCCATTATGTTTTTTACCATCTAATTGCTACTGACTTCCGTCATACTGTCCAGATCACAACAGAGTTCTCTCACTTTTGCACTCTGGTGTTAAATATGTCATTTAAGGGAAATGTACTGATTTCATGTTAAATACAACAAAGCTTCTTTATGTTTTAATAGAAAATCGTAAAATGTAAACATATAAATAGTAATTAAATGTACAGTGGAGGATTTTCGTGATTTTTTGAAAAGACCTTAAAAAAATGCACATGCATGGGGGGTTGCTTTTAATATATACTGGTTTTATTGGTGCATTTTTATTTCTCTAATAGTGGTGTTTTGTTTTTGTTTTTTTACCTCAACAGGAAGCAGCTCTGTTTAAAAGTTGCTGTTTGCATCAATCATACAATCTTCCTTTCCAAAAGAAGATTTACAATTTTTCCGCTGTGTCAGACTCACCAGAATAAACACATTACCAGAATGATTGACAATTAGTAGGACCACTTATTTTGATGATCTACCTAGAAAAACTATACCTTTATCTGTTTGACCACAAAGATTATAGCTGGGCCTGGTGCAAAACAATGAATGTGTAAAAAAACAAACACTTATTCTCCTTTCTCAGAAATGTTCTTAGGGCGTCTGGTTTTAGAGGCTTCTTTAAATATCAAGACATTTGAACTTTTTATTGGTACTTTTTTTGCAGGTTGTAAGAAATTATGCCGTTTGCTCAGTGGACTTACAGGTCCCCATTTCGGTGCAGCAGTCACAAATGCCAGTGCTCCATGTCCCGACACCGTGATGGGTGGAGGTGACCATCACCACCTGGGATGGTTGGGGTTGGTAAGCCATATCTGGAGGAAACAGAGTCGACATAATGAAAGAGGAACTGTGTAGTTTTATTTCTGATTTCTGATAGTTCTTGCACACTAACACCCCCAGTTTCTTCCTTTATAAAGGGAACATCTGAGGTGGTGAGAATTCATTTACACGCTGTGTTGAGCTTTTACAGGATATTAATCAGACGGCTTTAAAAAAGTCACAGTACAAGATAATATATTTGCTTTCGTTTCTCATGTCATTTCTTTCACAGACTACTCCTGTGTTTTGTCTTTAACTTGGTTTAATATAAAACAAACATAGGAGAGTCTATGGACTGTTTTAGTTTAACTCATTTCACTAACTGTTAGAGAACGGAGTAGAGAATCCTAACGCCACTGGTAGCTCTAACTGATGTCATTTTAGGAAAAAGCTTAGATTTTCAATAATCCTAAGATTTTTATTTTGTATTTTATCTCAGTAAGTTATCAAAAAGCAGCCCAGGCCTTGACATGGCTCCTAAAGTAAGCAAATGTGAGGAGAAAGGAGGAGGACTTCTAGTCAGCCTATGAGTGTCTAAGAAGAGAAGAAACCACATACACTCCTTTAACGATCATACAATCATTAATTTAGGGATATGATTAACTGTAGCTCCCCATATTTAGAAAGATTACTCAGGTTGAGAAGCTGGATGGGTTCAGGTACATCTCTAGTTACATAATTTTATTGAGGATAAATTATTAATATGAAAAGTAAACAAACTCTAGACCAGGGGTTCTTAACATCTTTGAATCACACCCCAAAATTTAACCTACTCTGCTGTGCATGACCCCCGTCCCTAAGCCTAATCAATACCTATATGTAGCCTTTCCATAATCAGACAAGCACTTATGAACTCACTTCAGCTATTAGTCTCTTTATCATCTTACTTTAAAACATTTTTTGAAAAACAGAACAGAAATCATTTTACCGTTAAAAAGTAAAAAAATAATGCAAACTTTTTTTAATGGAATAAAACAACAATGTGTTCTAAACTTGAAGAAAACACACCACAAACAGCCCATGTTTAACTTTAAACATATATGTTTCTGAGATCTTTAAATTTCACTTCCTGGTCAAAAGCAGAGATGTTTTTCTGCAACTACTTAATGTGACTGCTTCTTGTGTGAGAGAAGCAGGCTCTTGGCTTTATAATATAAAAAGGCCAATGGGAGATCACTGTCAACTCTGAGGAGTGGTGATCTGTATTTCTTCTTCAAGTAGTTCTGTGCAAAAAATGTCTTTTTGCACATATGTTTTGCAGACATGTTGATACAAATGGAAACAACACATCAGTTTCAGCTTTTGACACCACTGCATACTCTGTTGCTACTGAAGTAGCACCTTGGTTCGTCTATTGTTTTGAATCTGTGCTACAAAGCTATCAGCCGCTGCTCTGAGGAGACGTCCTCTCTCCAAGAGCTGCCTGTTGGACGAATGGACTGGGTTCCTGATAAGAAATCAAACAGGTAATCGTCCCTTCCTTTCCTGGTGAGTGGATTGGACTGCTGAACCGAGTGCATCAAACCAGAGATTGTCCCCTGCTTATCCCCTCTTTTCATCTAATGCTGCTAGAGTTGGGTTGGCTAACATTGTTAGCACCAGACAAGCTCATTTTGGTCACGTGTACATGGATGCACATGCTTCATGGCCTGGTTTCCTCATGTCATCTGAGCTAACCCATTTTTCTCCAGTGCTGCTATATTGCAATGCATTTCTGAGTCATTGATCAGTATTCACTGTAAACTGAATAAAGCTACACTGATTGATTGCAGTTAAGATCTCTGTATCAGTTGTTATTCATATTTATCTGCTGTTATTATAAAGGACACTTTGAAAGCATTAAACCACCAAGCTTAAAGATGAAATGAAATGGTTATCAATATATTACAGGTGCTGGTCATAAAATTTGAATATCATGAAAAAGTAGATTGATTTCAGTAATTCCATTTAAAAAGTGAAACTTGTATATTATATTCATACATTACATACAAACTCATATATTTCAGATGTTTATTTTGTTTAATTTTGATGATTACAAATGACAACAAATGAAAATCTCAAATTCATCATATCAGAAAATTAGAATATTACTGAAGACCAATAAAAACAAAGGATTTATAGAAATGTTGGCCAACTGAAAAGTATGAACATGAAAAGTATGAGCATGTACAGCACTCAGTATTTAGTTGGGCCTCCTTTGGCCTGTATTACTGCAGCAATGCGGCGTGGCATGGAGTCGATCAGTCTGTGGCACTGCTCAGGTGTTATGATAGCCCAGGTTGCTCTAATAGTGGCTTTTAGCTCTTCTGAATTGTTGGGTCTGGTGTATTGCATCTTCTTCTTCACAATACCCCATAGATTTTCTATGGGGTTAAGGTCAGGAGAGTTTGCTGGCCAATTAAGAACAGGGATACCATGGTCCTTCAACCAGGTACTGGTAGCTTTGGCACTGTGTGCAGGTGCCAAGTCCTGTTGGAAAATGAAATCTGCATCTCCAAAAAGTTGGTCAGCTGCAGGAAGCATGAAGTGCTCTAAAACTTCCTGGTATGTGGCTGCGTTGACCCTGGACCTCAGAAAACACAATGGACCAACACCAGCAGATGACATGGCACCCCAAACCATCACCGACTGTGGAAACTTTACACTGGACTTCAAGCAACGTGGATGAAGTGCCTCTCTTCTTTTCCTCCAGACTCTGGGACTTTGATTTCCAAAGGAAATGCAAAATTTACTTTCATCAGAGAACATGACTTTGGACCACTCACCAGCAGTCCAGTCCTGTTTCTCTTTAGCCCAGGCAAGACGCTTCTGACGCTGTCTGTGGTTCAAGAGTGGCTTGACACAAGGAATGCGACAGCAGAAACCCATGTCTTTCATACGTCTGTGTGTGGTGGTTCTTGAAGCACTCACTCCAGCTGCAGTCCACTCTTTGTGAATCTCCCCCACATTTTTGAATGGGTTTTGTTTCACAATCCTCTCCAGGGTGCGGTTATCTCTCTTGCTTGTACACTTTTTTCGACCACATCTTTTCCTTCCCTTCGCCTCTCTATTAATGTGCTTGGACACTGAGCTCTGTGAACAGCCAGCCTCTTTAGCGATGACCTTTTGTGTCTTGCCCTCCTTGTGCAAGGTGTCGATGGTCGTCTTTTGGACAACTGTCAAGTCAGCAGTCTTCCCCATGATTGTGTATCATATATTTCAGATAAACATCTGAAATATATGAGTTTGTATGTAATGTATGAATATAATATACAAGTTTCACTTTTTAAATGGAATTACTGAAATCAATCTACTTTTTCATGATATTCTAATTTTATGACCAGCACCTGTATATATCTGGTACCTAGGCCTTCAGTCGACAACCCTCAACTTCTACTTCTTAATATCACCACTTTAACATTTTAATAAAACTAAACCACAAATAGTATTCAAATATAAAATGTATCAACCGTTGGTATAATCAAGAGGAAGGTTAGTGTGAGGGTGAATTTGAGAGGTCAGATTGCTGATTCTAAAGGCCCTGGGCAGATTTGATTGACATAGCAACGCACTAAGGCTGAAATCTGATTGGACAAAAAAAAAGTAACAACCACTTAAATGTAATGGAAGCAGAGCAGCCAATAGAAACGCTACGAAATTAAGAGAACTGATCGTTTGGAATAAATTAATGCAGTTGGAAAGAAGAAAATTAAAGTTTAGCTCTGAAGGTCCTGACCGTCCACCGCTGGTGTTACTCGTGATTTGAATTACCTGTTAATTTTGCAAATTTCCAGCTCTAGTTATTTAATTTTTTTCATAATCTTGTGATAAAATTGTACAACATAGAAAAAAAAATTAAGAGTAATTTAAGCCCAACATATGTGTTCAGGGTGGAGAGGAACTGCTTAAGAGCTCTCTCAAAACTGTTTCACATCAGCTCTAACACCTTTTAGGATACTGTTTCATAGCATCATAGACCACAACAGCACACCAAACATCCTGCTCTCTGTCATGCAATACAATTCTCAATAAGTGAACAAAAATAAAATGCTGGGCAAACAGGGTATGGACCGCATGCAAGGAATTTCAATATAAAGACAAATTGGGTTAAAAAAAATGTATCTGTGATGTGTGCATCTCTTGGCAATACCCTAAACATGGGAAAGTTTCTTGAGACCTGAGCTCTAAGCTTCTTCTGAAATGAATCAAAGATTTACCAACAAGCGATTAGCCATTTTTAAAACCAAAAGGGAAAACACTTTTCTACACTCACAGACAAAGGAGTGTTTCAGTTTACTTCCAAAGAAATGAACAAACAAAGTAGGGATGCACGATATTGGGATTTTGGCCAATATCCGATATGCCGATATTTTAAAACTCATGTGGCCGATAACCGATATCGATACCGATATTAAAGCTGGACAAAAATAAGTAGTCATTGAAAATAGCAGTTTTGTTATCCATTTCTGACACTTTGAAAAATAATATACTCAAATATATTTTCATATGCTGATATCAAATAGATTTTGAAAAAAACGCGGTATCGATCTAATTTACTTTCAAAATCTCGTGAAATTTCATCGTTCTGTTACAAACTGTCGTGAGATTTTGTTAGTAAAATAGTCAATATATAAACATATATAAATATAAATTTTGTGAATTTTCGGGGGATTTCGTAGCTTAACGATGACATATAGCAATATTTCATTAGTAAAAGAGATTGATATGGTGTTTTTAAATGGCAATATGTCAGCATATGAAGATATTGTGATATTTTAAGGTATCAATATTTTTTCCCTCGTCTTTAGAAGTTTTTTAAGTCTGTAAAAAAGAAGTTTTTTAGGAAGAAGAAGTAGTATTTTTTTTTTTTTTTTTTTTTTTTTTAGACTTTAGAAACTCAGAAGCTGATCAAATATCGGGTTAAATATCGGTGGGGTGGCCGATGTCCGATATTCAGTTTTAAGGCCGATACAGGCCGATACCGATAGGGGGCCGATTATATTGTGCATCCC